CAAAGCCATCAGCGGTGGGTGTGATATGCAACAAGACCCTCTCCAATTTCATCCACTTGTATCATTTCAAGAGCTAAAGTATTAATGATACTTAAGCATCCAATACATAATGCAAGCATATAGGTGCCCAGGTTTATCTTTCAACCCTCCAGGATCTTTGGCAATTACCAGTACGAAGTACCATCACACCAGCTGCAGTGCACTCTTCAAACTCAGAGGTAACACAGAAGTACGTACCAACAGGTTCACGTTGGGAGGTACACCGATATATTGTTATTCTGGGATAGCCAGGCCACCTCCAAGGCAGCCTGTGAGCAATAAACTCTGGCACGCATACCAGCAGCCTGGCTACGCACCCCAGCTGCGGACACGCGACCACCTCTTCTGCAAGGCATAAACTCATTGTCTCTGAACTGGGAAGATTTTTTCACGCTCGTTCAGAAGTGTTCTCATGTTTGCAGAAGTGCGAGAGCCTGTTTGGAAGATTTTATTCACTCCCAGACGAGGACGCAACTGCACGTGCTGCGGGGAGGAGTGGAGGGCATTAACCCAGGAATTTCCTTGAAAAGACACGCTGCGGATCCCGCCGTCTCCAGCTTTGCCTTCGGTTATGTCACCAGCTGGCTGGTTTCGAGCTTCCAGCCTCGCACACTGCTCTAGTCCCTGGGGGTCTGCCTGTGCTTGCCTGCTACAGCAATATTTACCAGCATGCCTAGGCTGACTGTTTTGACTACATCTCACCCGAGCAGGGATAGCACCAGAGAAGTGTGCAGAGGACAGGCACCTTCCCCAGTACTAACCATTTTATGCGGTTCTCAAAATTAAATGTGAAAAATGTTTGTGAAAATACTTTCAGCAACATGAAAAACATGCTTTTTTCTAACATCACACCATGTATCCTTGCTTTTCTTGCACTTAAATACAAAGCCTTACACCTAGACCTGAGAATTTTGAACCTTGCACTTTGTAAATAGATGAGTACGCCACAAAACAGTGAATATTGATGCCACACAGGGATTTGCCTAGATTACTCTGAGAAATTTAACGTTTGTTTCAGTAGCAGAGCATTTACATGAAAGAGAGAGCAATCCGGTGAGAGAGGTATTTCACCTGGCCTCTAGGGCTTGGTCCCAGCTCTCCTGCCGGGCAACCGTGGAGGACAAGGACCGTGGAGGCAGGTGTCTCCTTGCCCCAGCCATGCCACTCCTGAACTCCCAGCTTCAGCAGTGAGAACGCACACTTGACTACTTCAGGACCTTCTGCACATCCCTCTGTAACAGCCAGTGCTGCTACAACCGACAGCGAGACCGGACCAGCAAAGTCACTCCTCTACCAACAGGACTCTAAACATTACCTAACATTTATTTTTAAGCATCTGTTTTATTACTGCATTTGCAAAATTGACATTGAATTTTCTCTCTGACATCAATATATATCACTGACCTTCCCTGTATTTAGCAACATATATATGTATAGACTGAACTGATCTGATTCATCCTCTGAAGAAATTCCCACAGTACTGAACTTCTTGACGGGGCTGCCAATTTTTCATTTCTGAAAGCAGCAAAAGTGTTTGCTGCTTTGCAGTATTTTGGTAGACTGGGAGAGGAATACACTGCAAATGAGCATTTTGGAAACCGGTTTATTTAGACATTTCATATTTTCCTTGACCTTGGTAGCTTTGGGACTGTCACCAGTAATCCAGCAGCATTTAAGAACTCTCTACACCTGCAAAGTTGTAATCTGCTGACGCACAAGCAGAGATCCCATCTTTGGGAGCTGACGAATTTCTGATGAATGATGGCATGTAATTGGCTTATGGACTCCAAGCTTGTCTCTTGGCTGGATTAATCCTTCAGACAGTCTCTCACAGTACCGCTAAGTAATGCTTACAGTTAAGCGCAATTTCTCTTCTTCAGCATGTATTTGCATGCACACCTGCGTTTTTTCATGACTAAGGAGGTGCAAGGAGTACATCTACTTCTGCATCTATTTAAAACACCTCAAGCCTCCAATGCAAAACTCACATCATCCAGGCATATCCAGAATGTATGTGTCATAAACTGTACTTACTGTAGTGTATTTTCCCAGCTGGCAGAGTGAGGGGAAGGTTTCCTGGTGAGCTTTTCGGATCTTCTCAGTAAGATCATCCAACTCTGCTGTCATTTCATAGTTTTCTGTGGACTCCTGCTTTGAAGGTTCCTTCTTCTTTTTGTTCCTATCGTTTCTGACAGCTACAGAAAAAGCAGAGACACAGATCACACGTGGTTATTCAGATCACCCCATGTCACACTTGCCACTCTACTTCAAAACAGTGTAGAATGATTTATTTTAAACATCAATTAAGTGGAGATAAAAATGTTACATGAACAGAGAAAACTAACGCAAGCTTAATTACTCAACTGTAAGAATTAAATTTAATGGGATAATGATGAAGCCAAACTTCTGTAGGTGCTTGTTGTGGATGTGCCATCACACTCCTGTAGTATCTACCTTCCAAGAAAGCCTACTGCAACTTCACATGCATTGTAAGTGTCTCAGTAACTTTGTGAGGTGGGATTTTTTCATTGTATCATTACAGCTGTGCATGGTGAATGGCAAAGTCCTCTGCAGTGATGCAGTCGGTATTTCACTGGATGTGAACAACACTAAAGAAAGACAGCAACTGTCTCAAATTTCACGATATGGAAGATAACAAAACCCATAATAATACAAACTCCACCAAGCAAAAGTTATTTAAAGGGAAAGTTAAATTTGAAAACAGCAAATGAAAGAAGATGAAACACGTTAAACTCAAGATCTGAAGATCAAAGGAGAAGCACAAACACTTGAAAGAGTAAAAATGGCAGTGAAGCTATCTAAAGTTGCTTGCCATCTGCTCCTGCGCTCATATCAGCCTTCTACCTTCCCCCGGCCGTGGGGGATTACTGGAAATATGCATTGTGCGGCACTCGTGCTGTAATTGATTTCCCACATATTTGTGTTTTGTAATAAAATATGACAGCTGCTCCATCACCATGCTACTCTTTGTTCTTTTAATGAAAATAGCTTAATTTTACAAAACGTGCCCAGGAGATAAGTCTATGTCCACAGTATTGCCAGTACTTGTGAATTTTATCAAGAGGCTTGTTGTTTGCTAAAGCTAAGGTCTTAAGCGTAACCAGATGCGTAAGGCTTTACAACAAAGCCAAACAAAATCCCCAAAGACTCCCCAAAGACTCTGTGTCAATATTAAACACCCCAAAGACTAAACACTGCTGGACAAATAAAAACCAATCCTAACATTCACTGGTGTTCAAAACCTCATGATATTTAAACCAGTGGCCTGAACTCTGAGGGTGCGGCTGGTGGGTTTGGCACACGTGAGGATGGCTGGGGATGTTGGACAGCCAAAGATCAGCCTATTCTCACTTGTACTGTCCCGCACCAGAAAGCGCATCTATCTGTGCCGTAGGGAGGGAAGCACAGCAAAACAGGCAGATGCCCAGAGCCACCTCCATGCTAGCTCTTTTCAAACCCCATGGGTTCCCCAGGCCCATCTCCATATCTTCTGTGGTGCCTTCCTACACGCCTGTGAACCACAAATGGTCGCAAAGAGCAGACAAATAGTAAATGTTTCAGGAGGAAGAGGAGCTTTTGATCCAGTCTTACCTACACCATCTGTTCAAGAACGAATGACACGCAGTTGGATTCATTTTCCACTGGGTGTCATTTCTGAGAGAAAATTAAGAGTGCCATGGGAAAATGGTGGGTGGGAAAGCAGTAGAGTCAGGGGCATCTACAGAAATAATGTAGTATGTGTAACAGAAAACAAGGGGTAGATGCAGTGACTATTGTTGCTCCTTTATGAGGCCAACAGGCACATACTCCATGTGACGAATGGCTCTGGTTTTCTCACTAAAGGTTTGACTTTGCAACTGAGAGAGCTCTGACCCTGATCCAGCAGGTATTTTAAGGATGAACTTGACTTTAACTATGTGAACAGACCCGCACTGAAGTTAATTATGTGCTTTGCTGGATCAGGGCTGGGACGCTGAGCACCCCACCAGATTAAAGCTTAACCTTGAACACCATCAGTTCTGGTGTCTGGAGTAACAGCGACTCAAAGAAGGCCAAGAAAGGTGGACAGGAAAGGTACCTTCTTGTGAAGGTTCAGTGCTACCAGTGTAGTCAGATTTAGGGGAGGTTTGAACACACCCCACACCCCCCTGCTTTTACAAATATTCCCCTAAAGCCAATGCCCCGATTTGTTCACTGGACCCCAGGGCAGAGTGCATGTAAAGTCTCTTGCATTGAAAAAACGTCCAGGACTGACACATACGTCTCGAGTGCTCCAAACTGCCACTGCACTCCAGAAGTAAATCCTAATCGCCACTGTACTTGGGAGATAAATGAGCTCCTTAGAAAATTATGTAAACTCCTACACAACCACAAAGAGCAATAAGCCTTTGTAATAAAGCTGCATTTACTTATAGCTCTACGAGCCGATTGACAAATTTGCCAAACAGGCGGCCTCAGCAACTACTTATCTCAATAGCTTTGAACTCCTCGTGGAAGACAAACACGTTATTTAGGCCAGGCTTTGGAGCAGCTGCCAAGGGCTCCCACAGACCAGGAGATAACTCCAGCAGGAACCGTGCCACCGCTCCCGTGCTACCCCGGCACAGCTCCCTCTGCAGCTGTACCTGAAGTCCCTTTCCCTCCAAAGGCCACCAGAGACACAGCTGCTGGTGAATCCACACCACCAAACTGGCCCAGCTCTGTCCTCTTTCTTTTCGGGTGCAAATCGCCGACGGGTAGGAAGGGGAGAATTAACACATCCTGAAAACTAAGAACAGTTTTTGTTCACTGTTACCTTTTTTCTACAGTTCCAATAGCCTTTGTAATAATGATAAAACCTGAACAACATCTATCCTCTTGCTTTATGTATACTTTCTGTATTTCCTACATTCGTCTTCGCTAAGGCTGCATCAGACATGGCAGTGTTTCTATATTCCCTGTAAGATAACACAATAAAGTGCTGACATATAACACCCAGGCTCCAAAAATATAAAGAATTTCGATAACATTGAACACTGCTACGCAGATTCAACTACAACTATAACTCAACGCAAAAAAAAGAAAGAAAAAGATTAAGACAACACTATGTTTAAAAGAGTTAAATAAAAACATATAAACACACGCATTTACCCAGTAAATTTAAAAGCCATCACTGCTCCGGGAACAGGAACTGTCACACCACATGTAAGAAGGGTTTTGGATTACAGCTTATGCTTATATTACATAAATCACACCTTTTTGTATGTTGATCTTTACATGCATATGATCACATCAATCCCCAATGCAATTCCACTGCCTTTTAATGATGATACGCCGGTGATGAATCTGTGTCACAGTTAATGCTACAGCAGAAAACTCAGGTTATGAATTTCATTACTTGTGCACTAAATTCTGACTCGATGGCTGCATTATTTAAGAGCTCCCGACAGGGGACAGTATGGAAGCTCTCTTGCCCCGTGAGAAATACTGGAAGTCAAAATACTAAAAAAACAAATAAGGTGTTGGTGGTGGGGGAAGAGGATGAAATGAGGTGTATCTTGGTACGTGAGGAAGCCACATCCGCGCGAGTCTCGGCACTGCTCAGACAGCTGAGCGACGCACGCCCACGCCTGAGCACGTCCGCTCTGATCCATCTTCCCGTGACAGCTTCCCTGTCCCCTCAACACACACGCCAGGACTTGCACTTCCACACCCAGAAACCTCCAGGCAGCCGCGGCAGGGTTCGTAAGCTAGCGAAGGCACTTTCTGTTGCCTTAGCTTTAGGACCAACCCCTACCCTCAAACATTCATTCCCCTAACCTGATGGTAGAGGGGCTGAACATCATCTCTTGTACCATCCAGTCTGTTCTCCTCACCCCAGGTTTGCCACTGCTTTCCTTAGCCTCAGACACATTTTCCCTCTTCTGCTTGAAGTGATGGGCAGGGCAGGAAAGCTGCAGGAGGGAAGGATGCATTTTTCAAGAAAAGCAGGGCCTGCTGTAGGTGAAACTAAGTATAGGAAAGACACAAACAGCTTCTCTCGGAGGACCCCAGCACTCTCATTTAGCAACCACACAGCAATTCTCCTGCTTGAGCGGGATCATTTCAAGCATGTCGTAATGCTGGGAATCGTCCAGTCTTAAACACAAACCCCTCAGGTCCACCAAACTTAGTCACCGCTTGGCCTAAGACGAGCCTGGGATCCAGCCCAAGAGATTTAGGCAATTTCTAGATAATCAGGTAAAATTATGGAATAGCGAGTGTTCGTACTCCGCTTTGTCAAAGGTGGCACAAACCTGCCTAGGGGAGAAGAACCTGCAGCTCGCAACACAGTATTTCCAATTACTTGCATAACCTTTGCTTCCCCAGATGCCCAGAAGACAGTTAGACAGCACCTTTCATATATTATAATGATTAATCAGCTATAAATTAATGACTTGAAACGCTATCATTGCAGTTTTGCCTCTTGGAGATCCCCGTGACCTTTGAAGAGCTTTGTGTACTAGTTAACTGGTTTTATTCCTGTAGCAACAACTACTAGTGTTTCCAGTTAGTTCGCATTCCTGTAACACCACACTTCCCTTGTCATTAAATATTTTGGAAGTTACTCTTTAAGCTAACAAATCTCAAAAGCACCATAAAGAACACAGAGCAAGTCAGTAATTGCACAGCACTGGGTGCAACGTAGGCTTTCAAGAAGACTCCTTTTGTTTGCGAACGCTGATAAGAAGAGAAAGCAGAGGTGAGCTGAGGCAGGACTGCCGCAGACCTGCCAACTCTCCCCTCCGGGCAGAGGCTCGCTCTCCTGCCTGCTCTCCTGCACCTCGGGAAGCCATCTATCCCTTGCCGCACGCCAGGCAGCCTGGGCTGCCCGACACCACAGCCAAATGGTGCCACACACGGGCGGTGGAGTCGATGCTCAGCACTGCACCCAGGGCTTCCAGGAGCACCAAGCTGCTTGCTAGGGTGGAAACCCGCAAGTCTTGCACAGCTCCTTTACACGCTGACTTCTCCAATTCCAGCGGCAGCTGCTAAAAATTTCTAATTCTGGCAGAAGTTAGCAGCTGTGGACAATTTCAGTCAAATATGCAAAACGCTTACCTATTGCCACTGCCAAGTTTGATCCATCAGGACAAATGCCCCACACATACCACGTGTCACCCTTCTCCCTATCACCCTTCAATAAACTGTGCTC